TTTCAGTCAAATGCCACCGTTACCTGGTCTTACTCCAGATGGTCGACGAGTCATCCTTATGAGAGGTATGTAGTTTATAAATTCACTAGCATTTGCACACACGAAAAAATAAAACTCAGTAGCCTATGTCTTCTGTATCTATCTTCTGCATCTATGCTTTAAAGCGAGATCCTTACAGCCGTTCTGGTAGTACTTTCTAATAAACATCCATCCATTCATCCATCCATCTAAACTTTAGCATGTATAAAATTAGTAAGAGTACACTAAGTAGTCCAACACCATGGATTGCCAAATGTAAATCCACTAAAGTTCTCCATCGAATGTAAAAGTAAATTTTACACATCCAATAGACCCGAATAATAGACAAAAATACATCCAAATTTCGACCTGACACTATAAAAAGTTACACTTTATTGCTGTTGATGTAAGAGATGTAACTCTTTTCAACGGAAATATCGATGTAGACCCTGCTCTACATCATTTTAGGTACTTTTGAAGTGTAAAATTTTTGTATTCTCGAAACGTCTCTTACAAAATAACGAGCCATAAAATTTGAATAACATTATACTGCTTTGTTATCACAGGTGTGGACAAAGATGCTCAGACACCGAACGTTGCGGATGCGTTCAAATTGGCGCTGATGTTGGGTGACGTCAGGCTGGCTGAAGAGAAGGAAGGTGTGGCTGGTGATATTTACATCCTGGACGCGTCAGTCGCTACGCCTACTCACTTCGCTAAGTTCACACCTACATTGGTGAAGAAGTTCCTCGTCTGCGTACAGGTTCGTTACTTATTTATTATATTTAAGAGTTAATCAATAAATTTGTATACATCATCATTTGCATATTAACTGCAATATGTCTATGCATTTTTAGTAGACAACTAGCAGTTTCCCGCGACCTCGTTCGCGTTGAATTATAAAGCTGTGTAGCTTTCGGAGCCTATTCAATGCAAACAATATTTCGTCTTTATAATATTAGTATGGATTAAGAAATACGTTGTAAAATGATACTTTATTTTTTATTTTAATCATGAAAATATGAGGAATATTTCAGTTTTAAAATAATTTGCATCTTTAAATATAATTTATTCCCCTTTTCAGGAAGCTTATCCCGTAAAACTGAAGCAAATCCACGTCATCAACGTGTCGCCCCTGGTGGACAAAATTGTAAACTTCGTCAAACCTTTCATCAAGGAAAAGATCAGAGACAGGGTAAATATAACCTTTAACGGTCAAACTTTATTAATTTTATTGGTCCTAATTTAATTTATCTTATTAGTTTCATAATTTTCTAATAGATGGCGTTAAAATACAATGAATTTTTAACAAATTAAAATAAAAAATATAAAATAGATTTTTCCGTTGAAAACATTTCTAGAAATATATTGAAATTACTGTGCTAAAGTTCTAATCTGAAAAAGTTATAAGTAAAATTTACCAGCAAACTGTAAACTTGTGGGTTAGTAACTCTCTTTGCTCGTACGAGAAAAATGTTTAAAAATGACGCCCGTGTTTTGTTTTAGATCTTCCTTCATTCGGACACCAATGAGTTGTACAAACACGTACCAAAGGAAATGCTGCCCGCTGAATACGGCGGCAATGCTGGACCCATGAATGATTTACACAGTAAGCATCTATCTCCTTGACCCACCTTCGCACCAATAGATATTTATTCCTGTTTTACTTTACGGGGATAATGTAACATTTGTATGGTGAACGATTTTTTTTAATCGGCCGAGTAGTTTTTGAGTTTATTCGACACAAACACAACTTTTGCTACATTTTAAAATATCTTTGTTCAATTTATTTTTCAAAGTTCTTTAAAAATGTTATTACATACGATTATTTATGTAGGAATCGTATAATTATATCTAAATCTACAGAAAAACTAAAATCACTAATGTTTCCCATTGGGCCTTTGGGACTTTTTAACATTGGACCAATTGCTCGTGGCCTACGGTCCAACGGGATACACCAAATTCATCAGTGATAAAATTAATTAATAACACTTTTAATATTTGATTCTACACCCAATGGTTTCCTTTCCAGACGCGTGGGTGAAGAAATTAGCAGAATACAAAGATTGGTTCGCGGAACAGGAGAAATACAAAGCGAACGAAGCCCTCAGACCTGGCAAACCTACAAACTACGATGAATTATTCGGTATCGACGGTTCATTCCGTCAACTGGTCATCGATTAGATATTTAACAACTCATCTGACGTAAACAGTCATATCTCCTAGTTAGAACTCTTTACGTCAGATAGAAATGTATTAAATTAAGATCTCAAATACAGATGTCGTTAAATTAACATTCATTTCATAATCATTAATGACATATTTTATTTGGTCGCATTTTCTATCGCTTTTTACCATTTGTTTTGGTAAGTTTATACCAAATGCTTATGAATGTCAACCAAAGTTTTATGCTCACGCGCTTATCATGTTGATGTTTGAAAATAGTATTGTTATTGTTTAAAACATTTTCTTAATAAAGTTATTTCTTTTTATTTATGTGTTTTATTTATTTGAAT